TTTCATTTCCCTAATAGGCCATTTTACAGTTGTGTACTTAGTTGCCAAGCCTTTGATTCAGAGTGAGGCTAAAGATGACCTTGTTGTGATAGCGACCTGTATCTAGTTAGCATGATAACAAAGTGATTTACATTTGAAAGGCAGCAAGGTTTGTATCATAACAAGGTCATCTCTAGCCTCACTCCCGTTCAAAGGCTTGGCAACCAAGCACACAACTGTAAAATGGACTATTCCAATGATCCTAATGAATGACTAAGCAGCATTACTGTAAGGAGAAATTAGATGCTGGTCACTCTTAGGGTTAAGTGGATTAGTCAATCGATAAAATACGGCAAGGCAAAGCGAATCATATGCACACTGACCTTGATTCGTAACCGGAGAAGGAAAGATGCGATCTTTTCCTCTCAGGATTGCTGCTTTGCTCTTACAAAAAAAAACAGCTTCTGTTGGCCTAATATCAACCAGGCTTAATTGAAAAGACCATTTGTCTCGATAAATAAAGCATAAAAAGTAGAAGACCTTGATTCTCAACAGGAGGAGGAAGGTGCGATCTTTTCCTCTCAGGATTGCTGCTTTGCTCTTACAAAAAAAAAAAAAAAACAGCTTCTGTTGGCCTTATATCAACCAGGCTTCATTAAAAAGAGCATTTGTTTCGATAAATAAAGTATAAAAGTAAAAGATCTTGACTCTCAACAGCAGGAGGAAAGATGCGATCTTTTCCTCTCAGGATTGCTGCCTTGCTTCTACAAAAAACGAGCTTCTGTTGGCCTTATATCAACCATGCAGGCTTCACTGAAAAGGCCATTTGTCTCGATCCATAAAGTATAAAAAGTAGAAGACCTTGATTATCAACGGGAGGAGGAAAGATGAGATCTTTTCCTCTCAGGATTGCTGCTTTGCTTCTACAAAAAACGACCTTCTGTTTGCCTTATGTCAACCAGGCTTCATCGAAAAGGCCATTTGTCTCGATCTGTAAAGTATAAAAAGTAGAAGACTTTGATTCTCAACGGGAGGAGGAAAGATGTGATCTTTTCCTCTCAGCCTTGCTGCTTTGCACCTACAAAGGCGAACTTCTGTTATCGAAATTGAACAGGCAAATTTTCTCGATCCCTAACGCACAAAAAGTAGAAGATACATAAATTTTATAGTATTCAACTAACATACATTGACCATACAAGCTTCGTCGCAACGTATTTAAACGGATAGATTTTTTATCCCATGTTTATGGCGTTTAGAACAATTTTCGAGTATCGAAAGTAATCAGGAATTTCTTTAGTTTTGCTTTACTTCGCACTGTGATTGGTTTCGAAAACTCGCGTCATTATATTTCCTCAACCAATCAGATGTAACTAATCCCAACTTGATCATCCGCGCTTTTCCGCGCTTCAAATACAAGCAGGTTGCAAATGTCACCATTCGACTTTCAATTGAAACCTTCTATGCTAGTTTCGCTTTAAAATCTAAATGGTTTTTGGTCAAGAACTTCTTTCCCACATTCTCTCTAATGTTTCAGTTAAATTTTACGGCATTAAAATTAAAAGGTACTCATGTTGGAAATGTAGTGATTTAACTTATATGTCTGGAAACTTAGACATTTGCCTAACACTGAACAATTAGATTGAACTTTGTTCGTTTAGAAAGGCCAAATGGAGACATCTTTCAAAGGTTTTTCAGTTCGCGATCACATGCATCGATTGTGATCGGCATACTGAACAGAATCGGCCAAGATACACTAACTTGTGTCATTTACTGAGACATGGATAAACCAAAAATAAAACCACTCATGTCTGTGCTGAATAAATTAAATTTCAGACGTAACACTGACATGGCAAGTGTTTTTAAGATTCTGTGGGACCTCTTTGTCTTCTCTTCTATAACAACAGGTTGGTTTTTCTCAAAGATCAACAAATTCAACAGAAGTTTACTTTGTGCCTGGATGGTTTGCATGTGCGACTTTGTTTATAACATGGATGTTCTGGCGAGAGGTAGCAAACATGCTCGTCGACTTTGGAACGTTCTTGGAAAAGTGTCACTACTGTATGTGCTACAGGTTTGCACGGTCGTGCCGCTGATCTTGGTGAGCTGTATTCCTTATCACGCTCTAGTCGTGCTGGAACTCGATATTTCTGGCCAGGTTTATCTACTCCTGTGTGCGCTTCGAGTTGGGCGACTTTTGATTAGTGTCAGAGTCTATTTGCCTTCAATGGTCAGCTTCTTATGCAAGAAACTGCGAGAAGCCCGCAAGAAAAAAAAGCCTGAGAAAACTTTTGGACGCAATGGCATGGAAACCGATGGAGGGATTGGTCGTAGTAATATAATTAACTTACGAAGGTTACGTAACAACCAGTATAAAACTTTTGTCCGTCAGCGTCACAAGATGATTTTCTGAACGCTCGAAACATTTCTCGTCCATTTCAATTCATTATTGACTGAAAACAATGTTTGGTTGGCTTAGAAGCTTTGACGTTTGACTGCAATGAAGTGAAACGCCAGAAGACTCTACAGTTTTAAAAGGTGTTACGCTGTCTTTGATCAGAAATCTTGAGAACTGTTCCATCGACGAGAAGACTAATGTCTTATTAAGTTACATCATTGCAATTTTTCTCTGTCTCAAAGTCCTTGCTCTGAGCTTTGAGTGCGAAGAATGGACGTATAAAAGAGATGTAAGATTATGTAACTTAGGGTTTTAATCCACGAGGTCGTTCAAAGGACAACCGACCATCCGTATTCAAACTGCACTGCAGTGCTTCTCACACGAAAATCGGAGCCTTACTATTTGTGACGTGCGTTTTCACAATTTAGTGATAGTCACAGCCTTTCACTCCGATGACTCGCTTTTCACTTCGACAGGGGGTGCGAACAGAAAAGGATTGCGTTATCAATCATTTATTTCGTTGGTCATTTCTTTTTTCCATTTGATGTTTCAGCGCTCCTCCCTTCTAGAACTAGTAACCCGAGCTTAGTTGCACGCGCCCTTATCACATTTGTCTCAGCGTGCCAGATTGGTTCCACAAGCGTTCTTTTGGTCACGTCTCCGGGTCTCAGACAGTTACCGAATAGCAAGAACGGGAAGTTTTTAGAGTTAGAGCTGACGCAAATAGTTATTACTTGCGAGTATAGGCCCTTTGAAAACCAAGCGGTAGTCACCCTCATCGTTCGACGTGATGATGCTTACAAATTTATGTATTCTGTTTTGCAAACTGACACGGGTAGAAACTTGTACGTGATATTAAAAGTTGGTCAGTTTTACCTCAGCCATAAACGCCACAGCGCTGTGTTACAATACAAGTTACTATAAGTTTCCCGCAGATAAATATTTCTTTCTTATGTTTATATATACCAATGTTGAACATTTTACGAGGAGGAATAAAATGAATCTTCCCATAAGATGGCAAATTCCGAGGATTTTTATTTAAAAACCTGTAAATAGAAACGAACTTGGATGACCGGAGGTCATTTAGAAAGATGACCTAATTCGAAAGTACGGGTACGGAGTCTAATATTTCTACTGCATGTTTCCTTTGGTAAGAATCGAGTTAAACCGGTTTTAACAATCTCTAATTATAAATGTTTTGGAGTCAAACGAGATAAATCAAACCCGGTTGTAAATATATCTGTTCACTTCTGATAGGGTTACATATCATACAATGAACAAAAATTTGTCAAAGTGAATTATGTATTTTCGTAAAATATTTTTATGAACGTTTATTTATGTGGAAAAATTTACCAGAATTCAACACATAAACGTGCTCTCTCATCGCCTGTAAGCGATTCCCCTTTATACTCTATTTGTGCGTTCCCTCACGAAAAGAGCCTCGTTACGTAAGCGAGTCAGAAATAACCCCCATCGATTTAGTTTTCTGGTGTAAAATAAACTTTACTTGTGAGAGAGGGTCGCAGTTATGGTAGACCTTTATTGTTTTTCAATGCCTTCACAACTATATGAATGAGATCGAGATTTACGAGTGCCTGGAGTCCGTTCATTTTTATTTCCCAATAACTTTGACGGGCACGAAAACGAGCATACTCGAATCACATGAGTGCCTCGTTCGCACGCACCCCGCCGTCATTTCGCAAACCGAATGACTCCCGCCTTAGAAAGCGGGTTTTCCTGAGATTTCGGCATCAGCGTTTTTTCTTAGCCAATGCAAGGAGAAATTAATGCAGTCAACATTGACGCATTCTGAAGTTGTTTTGGTTAAGTCGGCGATCTTCAGAGGTCACTGATTTTTGAAACGCCGGAAAGGAGAGACATTTTTACGGTTTTCGAGTAGTGCAAAAAAAAAATTGATGTAATCGTAAACTTGATTTTACCTTGGAACTAAAGTGACGCAACTGCCATTGAGACCAAACTGAGTTAATTTCCTTTAAAGAAGATTTCTCAAAGGATATGAACAGAAGTCCGTTCAACTCGGGAGCGAAAAAATTAATTAATTAATTCAAGTTAATTTCCTTTAAAGAAGATTTCTCAAAGGATATGAAAAGAAGTTCGTTCAACTCGGGAGCGAAAAAATTAAACTTGACACAGTTAGTGGTCGTTGATGGGAAGCCAAGAAACCCGGTTAATGTTTCAAATCACAAAAAGAAAAAAAACGGAGTAAGCTAAAGTCAGTTAGCTGAATTTTGAACAATAACCGCATCGTCGAATTCGTCAGACTGTCGATTGCAAAACCCAAGGAATACTAAAGCATATTACGTTTTAACTAAACGTTTATACAGTAGAAATTATTCTCTACTAGTTAATAGCCGAAATAACTCACTGTAGGAAGAAATGTCAATGGAAAATTCGTTATTCACTTGCCATCTCCCTTGGAATCGCAAAATTTTTTCAAGTTCTAATATCAACATTAAGTAATGAATACGGCGGTCCCTTTAAATAAATGTACTAACAGTTTCTTTTCAGAACAAAGACAGAAGTAACATCAGGCAAATTGTGACGAAGGGCATAACATTTTAAAAAAATTGAGATAGAGAGAAAGATGTTTTTTCGTCTTGTTACGAGCGTGGGACAAGAAAACATTCTAGATCCCCACTAGGATCCGAACGAGTCTCGTACYAATRC